AAATTTCATATGACCAGACATAAAAGAAAATTATAAAAAATATGAAATAAATGGAGATGTCTGGTTTTCATCATTTAGAAAAGAACCCTAAAACACAACAAATGTTTAGGTTAACATACAGTAGTACACAACAGACATCAGTCCATACCATTGACCTTTTTCCCTAATGGGGATTCTGTACAGTTGACCTGAAACTGTGGAACACTCAACCTACTGACAACAATCACATTTACTCTTTGGCATCAGCCATTTGTCTGGTGATGCCAAAAATTATTACTGACTAAAGACAGGGACCAAATAATGACTTCTATTATTCATCCTTCTTTACAGGAAAAAAACAAGTTGTACTGGTACCTCAATTAATAAATCAATAATAACTCAGAAAATGTGAAAAATCTATTTCATAATACTTAAGTTGTGTTATGTAGTATCCAAATAGAAGTCATTAAAGTCCTATTTAAGTGAAAACCTATTAATAAATTTTTACAAATATAAACAAATTTCTCCCAACAGGATTCAGGTTGACATGCCGTTTTAAATAATTAATTGATTAATGATTGAATTCGTTTCATAATAAATGAAATATTTTCCAAATAGAGTTACTTTTGCTATAAAAATTTGATAAAATATTCAATAAAATAATCAAAGCTATTCTTCGTCATTCCATCTGAAAAATGTCCATTGGTAAAGGTTCAAAAAGTTGAATCAATATTTATCATTAATCTGAACAATTTGCCTTTGGTCTAGTTGACTACTATTCACTTCACAGACATTATTGGTAACTGGGATTCTGCGACACTGGACTTAAAAGTTGGCCTTGACTTAACCTATTTACATTATATACATTCAGTTTTGCTCTGAGGCATCAGACATTACAATTTTTACAGACTGTTACATCCTGAAATTGCAGAAAAAGAGTGATAAATTGTCTTACTGTACTGCTCTGAGTGTTACACAAAAATATCAGAAACAGCTGTAATTATAGAATTTCAAACTAATTTTGAGGTTACTGTTTAAAATTCAGAAATTATTGCCAGGTTTTTATTAATGTGAATTATGCAACTGGGTCAATATCCCAATAATAAGAACTCACACTCTGAATCCTATACATATATCTAATTGCAGATTTGCCTGAAATTGCAATAATTTAATCTCACATTTTTGTCCATTATTCAAAAAACACAATAAATACACACAATAATTTCTGAATTTACAGTACCAGATAAAAAAAAGATATTATTGCAAAGGAAATAAAACCTTTCCCTAGAATCAGTTGGTGTTTACCACCATTAATTTTTTTTTGCAAATTGAAAAAATAAAATATCTATTGTTTTCCATTGAGTTCATTCAAAGGGAACTGTAAACTGATTCTGAGGAAAAGGTTTTATTTTGCAATAACTGCAGTTTTGAAGGTCTTACCGTAACAGAAATCATCTCGAGTATCTATAGGTTTGTCTTGTCCATGTACAAGTGATACTTGTAATAATTTCTGTCTTAACCTCAAAAACTACTGCTATTCCAATATGTTCCCTTTTACTAAGTAGAAGGTAAAGTTAGGGGGTTAATTTTCCATATAAATTAACCGAAAACAACAAAATTGGATGATACCCAATGATTATTTGTTTTTTTAACCTTCTTAATATAGATCTCTTCAAAATATATATATGTAAGATTAGTCTTGATGAGATAATTTTGCTGTAACACTATCAAATCTTAACAAAAAATAGGCCAATTTTGGGAACATTTCATGTAAATTAGTACAGAGAGCAACAATATTTTTCTGACAAGAATTCGATTTCTATGGGAATTTCTTTTTTTGCAATAGTTAAACTCTAATAGTCTATGTTATTTCTTTGTAACTTTGAGTAAAATATGCAGGATTTTTGGCGAATTTACCATTTTAGTGAGTTTATTGTCTTTTCATGACTGTTTTATTGCTGAAAAGGTAAAATATTTAAACATAACTACCAATGTTCTATTGAATTACATTGATTCAGCATTTATTTCTGCACATTTTAGAAAAATTGTAATATAATCAATTAATTAAATGGCAAATTTGACCCCCAATTGTATCTTTTCCTTTGAATGAAACATCATATAATTTTCTTTTGCAATATGGTGCTAATAAATCCCACCAAACCTCAGTTGACCACAAGATCTATTAAATGACCATGCTAATCCATAAAGCCTTAGAGAATTAATGTAATAAGCAATAGATAAAATATTGTAATGCATTAGATTTAATAATGATCTGAATATAAATTCTCATCAATAAGCTGAGAACAATGCATCACTCTTATAGTCCAATCACACCAGTATTGTTCTGAGACCTAATAAAGTTGCATAACACTTCATCAATGAATTCATATTCTTATTCCAAATTAATTCATTTTCAGCATGATAATTGGAAATACAGTATATTCATAAACTAACCAATGCTAGACAATGTAGTTTCCTGGTACAAAGCAGCCAGGATACAATTTTTAAACAATTCAGGTGAAGGAAGTTGCTTCAAATTTATGCAAGGATTTATAAAAAAATCTGTTTTTCATTGCAGCTAATTTGCTGATATTATCTGAATTTAGCTGCATAAATAAGTAACTCTTATGGCTCTTAAACTGGGGTTTTGTAATTTATATTGAATGTAATTGGTTAATTGTACAATTAACAGTATTGTCATTTTTATAAAGGTTTATGATTTTATTTTATAGTACATGTATTTTGTTGATATAAAAATTCCTCAAGTCTATATTCTAATGCAACATTCAATTTAAATTTTACCCATAGCTACTTAAATAAACAGCTGTGCCATGACTTCATGATTTGACCATATTATGTTACTTAAAATAAACAGAGCAAGAGTCTACTTATTTGGACCATTAAAAGGTATGTGACCCTAGAGCAAATATATAAAAAACAAAATGTCATGAATTAACAGGGAGGTACCACAATAACTTTTATCAATTATAAGATTATTTTTTAATCAATTAGATAAGGTGTGAGAAATTATACTTTGCAAAAGACACACAATAATTGCCTTTATGTAACACCTGTGGATTTATCAAGAGTAAAAAAAAAGAAGGAGATCTGTAACCAAAGGGAAAATCTAAATTCATAAGTCGAAGAAAAAAGTGACAAAAACTTTGGCAAATAAACTGTTGACACAGAGATATGTCTCGCCTGTCGGCATAAAATTCATAAAAGGACAATCTGATGGACAGTAACATGGTTTATTAATTCAATCGCTGGACCATTATCTAGTGGGCAGGGCCTGAAAATAATTGTCAAACTGATATGTACTGATAGTAATGCAACTTTATACAAAATATCATTGATCTATCACAGGTAGTTCTTATCAAACTGACTTAGCAGAAAACTTAACATTGAAAATTGCTAATTAATTCAAAGTCACTAGACCATGACCTGGGGAGCAGGGCCTTGAAATAGTCGTCAAACTGATATGAACTGATAGTAATGCAACTTCATACAAAATATCATTGATCTATCACAAGTAAATCCTATTAAACTAACTTAAGCAGAAAACTTAACATTGAAAATTGCTAATTAGTTCAAAGTCACTGGACCATGTCCTAGGAGGTAGGGCCTCAAAATAGTCGTCAAACTGACATGTGCAGATAGTAATGCAACTTCATACAAAGTATCATTGATCTATCACAGGTAGATCCTATCAAACTAATTTAAGCAGAAAACTTAACATTGAAAATTGCTAATTAATTTAAAGTCACTGGACCATGTCCTAGGGGGCAGGGCCTCAAAATAGTCGTCAAACTGATATGTATGGATAGTAATACAACTTTATATTAAATATAAATAATCTATCACAAGTTGTTCCTATCAAACTAACTTAAGCAGAAAACTTAACCATTGTTGACGCCGTCATTGCCGAAAAAGCAATCCCTATGTATCGCTTTCCGCTACTTTCGTCGCAGGTGAGACAAAAATGAAAAACAATGAAAAGACAAACAAGTCAGCAAAAGTCTACATAGAAAACTAAACACTGAGCAACATGAACCATGCCAAAAGCAGGTGTGATTAAATTGAAAGCTAAACATAGGTCAAAATCAGTAAAAAGACAATATATCCTCAATCATTTGTGACAATCTTAACTTCTTCAACCAATTTAGAATGACATATAATTGTTAACCTTTTGTTGTGATGACATCAGTATAGACTTAATATACTATGAATTCATTTACTTTCAAAGCTACTAATTTTTGTTGATTGAGAAAAAGTTATATTATCCATTGATATTTGATTTCATGCATGGTTTTGCCAGATTTTGCTTACAAGCCTAAAAGAAAATGTATGTAACTTTGTTGAAAATTTAAATTGGTGGTTTTAACCTTGATTTACCAAATTAAACCATAAAAATTAATAATCCATGACTAATGATGATGATGATGATGATGATGATTATGATGATAATGATGATGATGAGGATGATGATGATGATGAATGGCTGTTTAATGTCCAGCAGCAAATTAAATGCATATCCAGAAAGAGGCCATGTTAATGCAATACACAACTCATGACGAATCCACAGTAAATAGGAATTTCATGAGAGAGAATTTATTGTCATTCTTAATTTGCTTTAATTTTACCATACTAAAAATGATACATATCCATTGGCAAATTCATAGGGCTTGGAACCTTCAGACTTTATAAAGAAAATATTGTTAAAAGCTTATGATTATATTTCACTTTAAGTTATTAAAAAATGTGCCCCCCCCCCTTTTTGAAATATCAAAATACTGATCCAACACTCTTATAGCTGTATATGAATAAAACAAAGAATTCACTAACAGTCTACATGAACTTAATAACATTTGTATTGTTATCCATGCATGCATTGTAACCAGATGTTAAAAACAAAGCTAGTGTTATAATTAATCATGGGCAAAGTCTATTATTATTTTGCTTGAAATATAAAAAAATGTGTATATATACGATTGATTAGGTGTGATGTAGACAAGACTTACCATATCAGGAATATCAGGGAAAGAAGATGACGACCTGTAGGACATTTGGAAATATTTTAATCCACCATCACTATTAACAATCTATTGACATTTTATCCAAATTCCTTCAAATGTAAATTCAATTGATTGAAAATCTGAACTTAAATCCTCCTGAATGAAGTGAAATTCTGTTAAATCACCAATAACTTTATGTCAGCTGGTGTTAAGTAAAGGTTCTCACATCCCATCAAAATCAATCATTACACCTAGTGTCAATTATATCATATTGATAAATTTTAACAATATTAGTTACGATTTTGAGGAAGATTAATCCTTTGATATATACAGGAGCCGAAAGATGAGCTGTTATTACCCTAGGCTCTCAAAAAATCAATCAAGTGCTATAATAACAGTAGATCTAGCACTAATAGATTCAACCAGCTTTCTGTCACATGGCTGGTGTTTTTCTAATGTTTTTTATCGTATCTTATTAAAACATTTTGCAAGTTAAATACTAGTAAATAAATAATTGATCTGAGGTAGTCTATATAATTATTCCAAGCAAAACATTATAAACATTTTTAATCAAATATTGTTCGTGTCAAGCGGAAAGTTATAAGTTCTTATTAGTCCTTAGTTCTCTAAAAAGGATAAATATGTCCACCTTAATATACAGGAATTTCCATTAATAATTTTTCATCAAAGGTGAGAAATTTTCTTTCTACGGAAAACAATCTTGCTGACTTAATTAAATTGATCTGAATAAGTTGTATGGCATTGAATATTGGATTCCATATAATTAGATTTTGTTAGAAAAATTGAAATTATGTCAAAGACAGATTTTTTTAGATTTGAACATTCTGTATTTTAATTAAAACATTCAAGATGCCAACAATTTTCAACAGCAAAGTATACCTAACCATTCACAATAGACCTTATCGCTATTTGGGAATCTGCGCCACTTGACCCAAGAAATTGTGCCACATGAACTACTTACCTCATACAACAATAACTTTTTCTTTGTGGCGTCAGACATTTTCCAGTATGATGTCAAAATTTTACGGGAACCTTTGTGATGTCCAGTAATGGCCGACAAATAGCGATAAGGTGTATCCTCTACCCATTTGGGAAAAAAGCATGCATGGAGATGAAATTGTTGTTATTAAAACCTCTTTCTCTATTACAAACACACAAATTAAGATAAAATTAAAGCTAAAACACAACAGAAAAAATCATTATACAAAATATAATGATTATTTTCCAATGCTAGCAAAAATGAACTACTCCCCTGAGACCAGTAGACTAAAGAAAACACTTAAAATTCATCATAGAATATTGTATCAAACATTAAACTGATAAATGTTTCAATATTATACACATTAGTGTTATGCATCAGGCAATTCAAAGTAAATGTTATGTTTTCAGGAAATTTCAATCTTCTCTCAAAATGGAAGTATAAATTCAATGGAAATCTTTTGAATAAAAACTGAGATACAATGCTGTATAGCCAAAAATAAAAAGGACAAGAGACAAACAACAATAATAAAATATAGTTACACAAAAAACACAAAGATCGAGCAAAGCAAAGCCTCCAAATACTAGGGATGCACTCAGGTGCCCAAGATTTTCTCTTTTGAAAATGAAATGGCAGACTGCAACACTAGAATAGATGTCTATCAGTGCTATAACTTGGAAATATGTGGTGCAGTATTACAGCTAGACTTGCACAGATTCTTTAGATATGCTGTAGTTAAGTGAATAAATATGTTTCCAGGACCTTTAAATCTTATCAAGGGATAAATTAAATCAATCAATTCTCTTTTCTAAATGAGATATTATAGATTCAAACACTAGCATAGACTACAAAATGCCATCTTTAACTTGGAAATATGTGGTGCAGTCGTCATATAAGCAAACATAATGAAGAAAATTTAGATTTTCAAACCCTAATCCTTCATGATAGCTGTAATTACTTAACATTTGAATAAGATTTTAACTTTACAATGAATGTGTTGATTTTAACACATTCTTATGCATCTCAGTATATTGAGACAGTTTAAAAAGCTTTGTAGACAAAAAATGAGCAAGATTGCAATGAGTTATTATCAGCATTCAGTGAAATAACTGCTCTGAAGCCCTGGATAAGAGAATATGTTATTTAAATGACTCCTCCCTGGACAATAAAAAGACTGAACAAATAACTATTTTTTAAAAAGTTATTCCACACTGCATGATTTACTTCTTTATACCTGTAGTTTATTAATTAATTGTTCCTTTTTAATGATCTTTATAGAGATTACAATGTTATCTATTTTTCATAGTTTTTGTCAACATCAAGCCCATTTATCAATAACGCAAATTAAATAAGTGATAAATTAAAGGCAGAAAATTATGATAAGCAAACACTAAAATGTCATTTATTACTTGCATTAGACCTTATATGTTGTAAAATGAATAACTTATAAGCTGCTCTTATGTCTTGTGAAATATCGGAATTTCCATTTGATATAAAATATTTCAAAATATCTTTGTAGATTCCCTAATGTACTGATTGAATGATTATGATGGTATGTTAATGTATATACAATTAGAAGTTACCTGCTGAGAAAGTATCTTATTTGATCCTTCTTTTAAAATATTAATTCTAAACACAAAATATGAAAGAAAATCATTTGTTTTCTGAAGTAATTTATTAAATGTATAATTCAATAACTGATATTGAAAACGAATGGATTATACTAATCATCAATGTTGTAAGTGTTGACTGTTAATATAGACATACCCTATATTTTACCCCCCCCCCCCCTTCCTAATCATTATCCCTATTACAGTAAAAATGTCTCCAAAATATAAAAGACTGAAGGTAAAAAAAATATAATTTGAAAAAAACTCCTGACCTTTAAAAAAGAGGCAGACAATACCAAAGATATTCAAAACTCCCAAGTTGAAGAAAAACTGACAGCGCCATAACAAACTAGAGCCTGTGTTGCTCACCTAGGTCTATGAGCATCTTCAACAATGGATTCTCTCCAACATTGTGGACAAGAATAGAATTCATGACAAAAAGCTTTTTTGTTGTTGTTGATCTTGTTTTGCTGATCAATTTTTTGTTTACAGTTTCTCTATATTTTCATTAATTTTAGCCCAAAACACAAAAATGTTAAAAAAGTTAATCATTTAAGGCAATCACTCCTATAAAGTGTAAACCAACGATTTTGGCAAAATAAGACTTATTTGAAGATCTTGTCTTGTTGATCATTTTTGCTATATAAAGAGTCTATCTATCTTTTACAGTTTTCAAGATAGTAGGCAAAAACGTAAAATATTAGTAAAAATCATCATTAAAGAGCAAGAACTACTACAAGGAGCTCACTGAGGATTTCCGCTATTTGACTTATTGGTAGATCAAGTCTTGCTGATCATTTTTGCTTATTTAAGTTTCTATCTATCTATTATAGTTTTTAAGATTTTAGGCAAGAACGCAAAAAAATGGTAAAAAAAAAATCATTATCAAAGGGCAATAACTCCAAAAAGTGGTCATCAGACAATTTTAAGAGTATCTACTTATTTAAGTTTTTATCTATCTACTACAGTTTTTCAGATAAAGCAAAAATGCAAAAAAATTGATAAAATCGTCATTTAAGGGCAATAACTAGAATAAGGAGTTGTCCGATGATTTCAACCATGTTGACTTATTTGAAGATCTTGTCTTGCTGATCAGTTTTTGTATATAAATCTTCTCTCTATCTATTAAAGTTTTCAGATATTACACAAGTATGAAAACAATCGGTAAAATTCATCATTTAAGGGCAATAACTCCTATAAGAAGTAGTCCGACAGTTTGGAAGTAAATAGACAATAGGTAGATCTCATCATTATGAACATTTCTGCCTCTTTCAGATTTTCTCTATTTAAAGAAGTTTTCAAGATAATAGATCAAACTTGCATTACATCTCTATGTTCTATTTTTAGCCCTGTCTGCCATGTTGGTAAATGGCAGGTGGGATGTCATAAGACACATTTTTTAAACTAGATACCCTAATGATGATTGTGGCCAAGTTTGGTTTAAATTTTGGCCCAATAGTTTAAAAGCAGAAGATTTTTGTAAAAGTTAATGACGAAGACGACGGACCACGGAAGACTGAAGTGAAGTGATGAGAAAAGCTCACTTGGCCTTTTAGGCCAGGTGAGCTAAAAAGGAGTCCACAAAAGACTACATAGAAACTAGACTGATCAACCTACCCTTATCTTTTTTATCATTTTACAAAACATAGCATTATCTTTGTTTCAAGAGAGTACCAGTTACGAAATCTGAGTGTAATCTTGTTGGATCAACCACAATTATCAATGCTGTATTACAAATATTATGTATTTGAATTTTTTTTTTAACTGAGGTAATATTATCTCTATATTAAGTTGATGATAAAAGTTTTTTCAATAGTGACCTGAACAACAGTATCTTTTTTTCAATAGCATTTCCCTCCAAATAAGTTAATGACTCAATCAATATAACTGGAAACAATTTAACAGTATCAATTGGTGACAATTAATGTCATGACAAAGTCATCATTAAAGAACAATGAACTTCTAGTCATTCAAAGGTTAGGAAATCAATTTGTCCTAATCATTATTCAACATTATGGTACAATTGTCATAATTACTAACAAGGTCTGAATTAGTGGGAATCATTTATCAACTAAAAGGTGCCAGATTTGTGAAATAACTATTGATGGAAAATGGAATTATTCCTGAGCGATATACTGAACATCAAACATACTGTTGTGATTGAAAAGTACATTAAAATAAATTTGAAGTATTTCAGTAAGTAGAACAGAGGAAGAGCCAGGATTTTCATTTTTTTGGTAAATCTGTATCTATACCTTAACAGCGATTCTTTTCCGACAGTGTACTCTTTCCTGTCGGAAAAAATTATACACTAGTGAATGGAAAAAACACACTTATTATGTGAAGAAATAAATCAGTAGTGCATTGCATTGCACTGGAACAAAAGTACCCTCACATATCCCCTTGAATCCATTATTATAACACAATTTTCATTATTATTATAGTATAACACAATTTTTTTCCATCTCCAAACATGTTTAACCCTGCCAAATTCTTCATGTGCCTGTCCCAAGTCATGAGCCTGTAATTCAGTGGTTGTCGTTAGTTGCTGTCTGTTTTTTTTCATTTGGAGCATCTTATAGCTGTACGGTGACCTATTATTGCTTAAATCCACTTCACATTGGAAACTGTTGGATAGTTGTCTCATTGGCAATCAC